GCTGTCGTAAGGGTGTTCATCTCTGGTACCAACGCTTTCAGCGAATCGTCCCGCGTTTGTATCCGTCAAGGATTGTGTGAAGGAGAAACCGTTTTACCGCGGTCATTGAGTCACTCTTCATTCAGCTGATCTGGTGCCACAGCTCGTGCATTTTCTCTTGGAGTATGACAGCATCGTCGTCGCTCAAGACAGAGTGCAGCTCTAACGGAAGATCTAGCATTTGCGGGATGAACTGACGAAATGGATGCGAAATGAGCTGTTCCTCTGAGAGATCTCTGAAGAAATCGTTAGCTGTGTATACTTCGGCATAAAATGGACAGTTGTTCAGTGCTCGTTAGATGATGAAACCAACCGAAGAAGGAATGCGACACAAACTAGCTTTAATCTATTAAAAGTCATTAATTGACTGTTAGCTGCCATGCGAACGAAGAACGAACTGTTCATTTCTGCTATCGTACCCGATATGTGCAACAACACCGAATGTTCGTCGTCTGCTTAAGTCGAGGAGAACAAACTTCTGGCCACTGAAGAATGATGGAGCGTAAGGTGTCCTTCCGGCATTACGTTTCGACACAAATTCGACAACCGACCGGACTGACGAATTAAGTCTCTACCATTTATGACGCCAAGAGAATATTTGCTGGTCACGTAGTTTAGAGAGCAATCAGTGGACATAAAGCATTACGAATTTGATTTTGCTGGATTACGGACGTACGATTCATTGACCAAAATGAAGATAAAAGCGTCGATTGACGTTCTTGTGCACCCATAGACGAACAGATGTCGCACGAAGCATAGCTCAAACCAGTATTTTGTAAAATGACATGGAATGAAGGCTTTTCGACCAATGGCAAACTGTCGGCGCACGGTTGTTTATTGACGATGCTGTGTTGTTTGGGAATCAGGCAAAACAGAGTTGTGGCAGTGCCATCGAACTAGTATTTTGGCATTTGACAAACAGTGCAATGACCTAATTAAGGTGATTCAAATTCTTACAACTAACTGCAGTGGGGATAAGCGATCATCAGTTAGACAAGTCATGGAGTATGTCAGCTTGACGTAGCTGATCGTCTTTGACAATTTTTTTGATTTAAAACTTGCTAGAATAGCGTATAATGGAATATGTTCAGAAAAACTTTAAAAACTTGTTTTCACAAAGAATCATGTTTTGTGAAAGCACAGTATTACCAGCAACTATATAGTGACAAGACCTTATTTTATGCCAAGAATATGACTTACCCTTAAAATTAAGGGTGATGGCAATAACGAGAATGTTGCAAATAACTTTGGGTAGGAATTGTAATGGAGTGAAAAGTAATAAGCATAGGAATTAAAGTCATTATGCCAGCGGCTGAAATGACAAATGGAACGTGAGACAGGTTAACATGATTGGCTGACAGGTGACAGATAGATTTTATCACTGACGAACTGGTACCCCAGAAAGTTACAGACTACCAGTCGAAGACCCGGTTTCAGATGAGGAGACTAGCTCCACAAAAAAGTATCAAAATTTATGGCGGCACGCACATATGAGTAAAGTGATCAGATGAAGGTGGTTCAGTTTAGCAGTGATAAGAACGTTGTTCTGCATGTTTTAATGAACTGTTGTGAGTTATTAAACCAAAAATGGATCTAGCGTCATGCAGAGCATCAGACAAACTGTATTTTAGTCGTATTTGTATGTGCAATAAGCAATATTAAAACTTGACAATGTAGAACTGATCAGTTAAGCTAATTGAAATATCCTTACATGAAATTTCGTGAGAAAAGATCATCTGGATTGAAAAATTAAGGCCGCAGTTAAAGCGTTATGAAATATTTGTCATGGCTCGTACCTTCTAAACAGAAAGTAACTATTTATGATCAAGAACGTGCATAAACAATGGTGTTGAAAAAAGGCTTTTGATCAGAGGACCAAGGTCTAGAAAATCATTCGTAATGGTGGCACCCAGGAATTTTCATTCGAACTTTATTCCCATGTTCATCAGAGGATAATGGTCACGTTTGTTATATTATTAATGCGCATTTTTCTCAACAAAATGGAATATATAATGTCAGTTCTGTTGGTATATCTAGCCTGACACACTTTCAACCAGTTATGTCTAGCTGTGAATCGATATACCATTAAAAAGAGTTTCTGTTCGCATTCAGCCAATTTATACCTTTGCATTTTCAGGAGTCCTTTTTTTCTTAGGCTACTAGTTTGAAACTTGGGGCGTTAAGGTGATCGCCGAGCTAGCTTGTACAATATGGCGTTCGTCTTGACTGTCTGCTCAAGCACGTCGTTGATTTAGCTGTTTTCCACGGCATTCAGAAGGGACAGAACGTCTTCGGTAGTAACATCCACTACATAACGAATTCTCATTATGTCTGGCATTTTTCTTCCATTAAATCTGGATACGATGGCGGTTGTTTGCTACTACGACGGTCTGCCTCAAAATTTGTAACTCTCGCATGAGCGCGCATTTTCCAAATGTCAGAAACTTTAAACTGTGCAGAGGGGCATTATTCACTTCGTTACAAAGAATTATTTATCCGAGTTGTCCTCGTTTAGTTTACGTCATGACCGCAAATCGAACTCTCTGCTAGCCATAGAGATATATATACATACCCCCAGGCAGGTATGCTCAGTAATTTGACTATAAGATCACTCCTTATGTTCTTGGATGACCGACTTGACAGTGGTGATCCAGAAGAACGAAGTTTTATTTCTTTGCGTCCACTGGTTGTTTCACAGGCGAGCTACGTTGCCGGCCTTTTCCAATAATTATCAGATTAAACCTTGGTTGTAAAATGGGCGACTCCCCTCTGATTCAGTGGTTTTGGGCGTAAATCTAAAATTGATTTAAAATACATTTTATTAATTTAATTCCTTGTTTATCCTGTTTTGGTGGTATTGTGTGGCCGAAAGGTGGTATAAATAAAAGATTTTTTAAACTTATCTTAGCCTTACGTCTAAAACCAGGTAACCGTAGCGTCCCC